AAGCTAAGAATGTCTTACAGAATCATGGAATAGTTAGGGTTGGAAAGGACCTTAAGATCATCAAGTTCCAACTCCCCTGCCATGGGCAGGGACACCTCACACTAAACCATGGCACCCAAGGCTCTGTCCAACCTGGCCTTGCACACCACCAAGGATGGAGCATTCACAACCTCCCTGGGCAACCCATTCCAGTGCCTCACCACCCTTACAGTAAAGAACTTTTTCCTTAGATTCAATCTAAACTTCCCCTGTTTAAGTTTTAACCCATTACCCCTTGTCCTATCACTACAGTCCCTAATGAAGAGTCCCTCCCCAGCATCCCTATAGGCCCCCTTCAGATACTGGAAAGCTGCTATGAAGTCTCCACGCAGCCTTCTCTTCTCCAGGCTGAACAGCCCCAACTTTCTCAGCCGATCTCCATACAGGAGGTGCTCCAGCCCCTGCTCATCCTCGTGGCCTCCTCTGGACTTGTTCCAACAGTTCCATGTCCTTTTTATGTTAAGGACACCAGAACTGCACACAATGCTCCAAGTGAGGTCACACAAGAGCAGAGTAGAGGGGCAGTATCACCTCCTTCGACCTGCTGGTCACTCTCCTTTTGAATGGTAATGAATGGTAAGAGCTTGTAAAGGCAGTTTCTGAATAGCATATGGATAAGCTGATTTACTTGTACTTAGCTCATCGCATTGCATGCTTCCAGTCTTGAAGCAGAAACATTTTTCCTCTTTAAGAGCCCGACAATGAGTGAGCCTTTCAAAGGACATCCAGGGGAATCCACACAAATTAACCACAAATGTTAAATTCCCTCTCGAACCCAGGTTATCAGGAGTAGCACAATGTTAGATATGTAATTTAAACACTCTCCGCAAGTGATAGGGCTGGCACTAACCCTGGAGTCACAAGGGAAAGGGAAAAAATTCAACATGTGAAGATTCCCAGGAGCTAGTGCCCAGCACAGCTTTGGTACTTCCCACACTCCACACAGCATTCCTTAACCTTTTTGCCTCATGGGTTGGTTCAGTGTTTTGGAAAAACAAGAGCGTTGATAATGGTTTTTCAGTTACAACTTGTTTTGCTTTTGAAGGTATCTTGAGTGTCTGACAAGCACAGCTGGGGGCTTTGTAACTTACAATTGCTTTCAACTGCACTGCTCGTATCTCATATAATCCCAACCAAGCATTTCATATGATTCCTTCTACAGGATGATGGTCACAGCATCACTTACACCAACATCGTATCTCTGTCTGCAACTGGCAACATCATCACCCGTCAGAAGAGCATACAGATCATTGTAAAATGCAGACTGGAAAACAATTCAACCTTGGAAGTCGTTTACATAACGGAAGATAACATAATCCAAAACACAACTGCTGTGGGAAGATACAATGTTAGCATGTCATTCTATGATTCAGGTTCATTCTCCGAGCCAATACGTCAGTCCCCCTATTACGTAGACTTGAACCAAACTCTTTTTGCTCAAGTTAGTCTTCACTCCACTGACCCGAACCTTCTGGTGTTTATTGATACCTGTGTAGCATCACCAGAGGCTGATTTTGGATCACTAACATATGACTTAATCAGAAGTGGGTAAGTAATTAAAGGGGGCAAGTAATAGATTTTCTTACTGCCTTCTATATGAGGAACTAGAATCTAAATGTCAACTGTAGTTCCATTGTTTTTGTCTCTTACGCTGAACTTTTTCACCATACTCTGGTTGGAATATAAGTTCCATAGAAACTTAAAGGCTTTGCATCAACAGAGCTAGGAAACACAACCACCACATTGCAGCATATCACTGTATATCCACACATAAAAACACCACCTTAGTTAAATGCTGTACTTAAGAGTTAACAGTACTTAGACTGATCAGTCTTTGGACTGCTTTAACAGTTGTGTAAATTCTGTTGCAGCTGCAATAAAGATGACACTGTGGTAACCTACCCACTAGTGGAACACTATGCGAGATTCAAATTTAACGCCTTCAAGTTCCTGCGCAGCTTTGCATCCGTTTATCTCCAGTGTGACATTCTGATTTGTGACTCCAACAACACCAACTCCCGCTGCACCCAAGGCTGCATCTCCAGACAGAAAAGAGACATTTCTTCATACCTGTGGAAAACCAACACTGTAGCAGGTCCCATCCGTGTGAAGAGAGAGCTCAGGTCTGCCGATCACTCAGGTAAGAGGAACGTGTAAATGGATAATCTGATTAAGTTATTCTTTGCTATAAACCCACTACCTTTGTGATGAAATAAGGGGGTTACCCTAGTTCAAAACTAACACAGCATCAGAGCAACTGGGTCGAAGTCTGTGTTTTTTGAGATCACAGAAGTGCTTTTCACCTGGCCAGACTGGTGGCCTTTGGATCAAGGTGTTCTCTTTGGAGCAGCAAAAGCAGCAGTTGCTCCTAGTTACAGGAGTGGTGTGTGTAGGATCTGCATCCAGTTATGAATGGCAAGAGAAGATTTCAGATTATCAAACATGACATTAGTTGACGAAGCAGACACAGTGACCAGGGCCCCTTGCTCAAGCCAGACCACTTAAAAAGCACATTGTGAATCAGCCTTTTTAGAATCTGTATATCTTCTAACAATGACTTTTGGTACTGCAGAAAAGCTACACCAGATGCTAAATATAAGCGACTTCTTCCACCGTAGTTTGAATCCTCACGCTATACGTATTGCCTAGTTGAACAAAACTACGACAACGACAGCCACTGGGGCAGAAATCAAAAGCACCAGGCTTTAAATTAGAGCTGCAGAGCTGTTTACGAGATAGTTAAGCTTTAGTGCCCCAATCTGACAAACTCTTCAGCACAATTTGCCATGGTCAATATGGAAAAGTTATATTAAACAGCTTGTGTTCTTACTCCCACTATGCTCACTGTTCTCACTTTTACTGAGCCCAAAGCTTCATCTATGAAAAGCATCTTGCGCCACATGCTTTAAGGTGTCACAGCTAAGAAATACTCAACCATGCTCCTAATAGCAATAAAAATATTTTCTTCCTTTTAAATAATTCTTAACTTCTCTCAACTCTAACAGCATTTTAAACATGTTCCCATTTATGTGAATAGTGAAAGATTTTTGCATCCATATGCTAGAAACTGGACACATGTACAATGTGTAAAGGATTCAAATGCAAATAGGTCACACTAGAAAGCAGGTATTCTCACCATATCTCTCATGGTTTACAAAAAACCAGTGAGTTTTACTAAGGACCAGCTGTAAACCATGAGCAGACACAGGGCAAGAACCACAAGTTCTTTTGCCCAGCTTTGCTTAAGTACAATGTCTCCATCTGGCCAGTTCTAAAGCTAATGACTGTGCTTGGCAGAAATGTGCTGCAGCATTACCAATGAATCCGTCACATCATGATGCTTTTCTGCACTGTTGTTTTATTACAGAATTTTACAACTCTTCAGTACTACAGTCAAAATTTGTAATTTCTGTGGATCAACCCCTCAGAACCAAAATAAGTGAGAAAATAGTTTATTTAATTTCCACTGCAGTAACATGGTACTCCAGACTGTAACCATCCCACTGTTTTTCTCTACACAGAATCCCTCACTAAAGCAGATGCTGAAGAAGCCCCAAAGCTCCAATACAGCTTCTACACTCTTTCAGTGGTGGTTTTGATTTCAAATATCATCATTGCAGTAGTGGCGGTACTGAAATACCACAAACACCAAGCAGGACACACCTACCAAAAACTCCAGAGCTCCTATTAACAACTGCTTCAGGATATGTTGGATTCATGTCAACTTGTGTTCAGATTTGTCACTCGGAGAGGGGAGAGGGAAAAGTCCCAAACCAGCTCAAAATCAATAAACCAACAGCACTGGAATGATGCTTGGAAACAGATCTCAACCTTTTTTTGTATTTAAAAAACCTCTCAACTGAGTATTCTTCCCTTGAATCACTGAGCTGAAGAATGTGTCTACTTCAGGGTGCCTAGAAAGCATCTGAAACCATAACAGGTATAAAGGGAATATAAAGTACAAGGTAATTCAGGTCTTTTTCTTAGAACAGCACATCTCTGTCTTTTCAAATCACTATGAAGCTGATGTTGGCACAAGTTAAGCTAAGGGAGAACTATAGGAAACCTGCTCAAAACAAATTATCCTGTGCACACTCCGGGCAAGAGTAGATGTGATAGTCTTTAAAAGACTCCAGTCTTCCTGGAGAAGAAAATACAAGGTAGACCAGATAAGGATACTGGACTCTGCGTGCCTGTGAAGCCAACACTTGTTTTCCCATCAACAGCTTTTGCTCAATGCATTTCAAAACACCAGATAAAATCAATGTCTGTGTACTCAACTCCCAGTAAGTCCCTGTCCAGTCCATATCAGATGCTACACCCCAGAATTAAAAAAGCAATAAACAGAATGAAGTATGAAGCTTGACATGCCACAAAAGGACTCTGAGTCACATTTCCACCACTCCAAATAACAGAACTGATCCCAGCAGGTGAAAATAAATACAATGCAACAAGGCAGCTTCGCCAGCCTAAGGTTGGTGACACGCAGCAGATCCAACCCACTATAGCACGTCCTAGGTGGCAATGAAGTCCCCTTGAGAGCAACCATAAATAAAGCAATTATGTTTCTTAGGATAATGAAACATTGATAACTACAAGTCTGCTGAGTGTACATTCATTCCAGTTATTCCCGCATGGCTCAATTAATGTAGGAGTTAAAAGTTTAGTATCAGTCTGGGTTTAGGTACCACTTGAGGAACAAGAATGTTCACTAAGGTGCCTGTACAGCCAATGAGGCTTTCAAAGAACCCAGGCTGGGGTTCAGCACAGCCCATCTTTCTAAACCCAACACCTTCAATAGATAAGTAACACAGTGCCAGTACTACCCTATCTCCTACACATGGAATAAAAAAAGATCTTTACCAGAAATGTCACTAAAATAAACCAAAAGCACAAAGAAAATACATCCTGTTCTACCAATTACACATCGAGACAACAGAACAGAGAAGGGATGACGTGGGTAGAAAGAAAAGCTGTAACTCGGTTTATTTCGATTACTTCTCCATTGTTAAAACTGAAACTGGGAAACTGTGTGTTTCATACAGCTTTTAGTAATGCTCGTTAAATAAATAAGTCACAAAGGGCATACAAAATTCTCATGTTTAGGAAAAACACATTCTTAAGATCTTTCATAAAACTGTGTGCAACAGTGGATAGAATTAGAGTAACAAAACGCAAGTCAACAACACTGAAGATCGGTACAGTTCTAACTCCATAAATACTGAGCTTTGTAAGGTATAACTGCCCTGAAAGTCCTTCTCTTGAAGTCCTCTACCTACACACATCTATCTCTCTCCATTAGAATCATAGTGTGCTTGTGAAATTTTGTTTGGCTGAGAGTTCTGAACCAGGTCCATTAAGAGAACCATTTTATTATCTATATGTGTCTGAAGAGCCTGAATTTGGCGATCAATATAGTCCATTAGTTTTTTCTCCATCAGATCCATATTTTTGGAGATCATCTTTTCCAAATAGGAGCAAATAGGCTGTTGTTCCACTCTGTGAAAAGAGCAAACAGAAAAGTCAGTATAACCTATTTCTTAATGACAAGGGGCATGGCAGATACCTTGCCAGCTGAACTTCTTCTATATGGAAAATATTGGTTATTAGACAATGAACTTTAGAAGGTATTAGGGGTTTAGCACACATCAAACCCTTCCTTGCCAGCATTTTACATCTCAGAATTTGTCTATAAACACACAGGGTACACAGTCTTCTTCTTTAAACCTCACTTTTGTGTTTCAAAGGCTCAGTGATGTATCAGACAGTTTAGTTATGTGTTCACAAACCACTCAACAGCATACACAGAGCTCCCATTCTGTCAGCGTGGCACACTGCTCCTCTCACCTCAAGTGTTTCAAGAGTTACACAAACTGTGCAGTTCTCAATTCCTGCATCTGCATTCTTTAAAAGAACAACGCAGGAGCTGGAGATGGACAGTACCTATGAGAACCCTGATCGCTACATCTCACCATTTCCACTGCTGTTCCTCAGGTATCAAACTGTTGGTGCACTACCACTTCTACTAAGGTGTCTGCACAGTAAATGCGAACAAATGAAGAGGGACAGGAAAGATCGGGAGATGATACACCAGATACAGCAGAAAGATCATGGCACAAGTTGTGGGAAAAATCTGACAGAACATAGGAGGCAGAAGCAGACGAAAGTGTAGCAACAGACAAGAAACATAAGCCAAATGTTGGAATCTGCAATCTGGAACTGCAGAAAGGCCACACTTTCTTAAAATCATAGAAGTTAAAACAGAGGCAAAAGACAAACAATTCTGTAACAACAAATGATGTTGTGATTTCTTCTGAGAAAGCCTCCTCTATGCAAGCAGCTCATTTGAAAGATTAACTGTAAACATGCTCATTGCCACACTGCCTCTAAACCCACATTTGAAGATTGATTATTGCTGTAAGAATAAAATTCTTTCATTACATATTTTACTCCTTAAACTCGCCAATACAAACTACTACTGTAAGAAGTGTACCGAACCGCACTTACCCCACACACTGAATGCCCTCCTCCTTAGCCACTGCAAGTTTACCAGAGCGCCTGTTGCCATCCTTCAGCCGAAGGTGATTTACCTGAGTGCACAAGTTCTGAAGGAAAGGAAGCAGCACCTGCGGAGTAGCTACATTTGGGGTTCCACTCTCTTGTTCCTGCATATGCAAAGATCCCACCAATTTAAAATCATCTCCGAGGTCAACTGTACTTTGCTGGGTAGTAAGTCTTTCCGAATCAGAAGTATTCTCTCTTTCAGGCACCTGCGTGTTTAGATCATGGCTTATTTTTAAGTCTTCATGTTCTGTGTCACTTGTTAAATGATTTTTAACAGGCAAAGGTTCACTGGCTGATGGATCCAGTGATGGCTGAAGAGCAGCACTGTGCAATCCATCTACTGCACGGTCACCCCCACAGTCTGCATTTTTCCCCAAGACAATCCAATTCAGTTTGTCTCCAAAAGGTGAACTGTTCTGATGGGAAGAGAAAAAAAAGGATTAATATTGAAGTATTCAAATATACTGGAAATTAGACAACAAGATACTTTATTAACTCAGAATTCTACTACCGTGATAGAAAGACTTTAAAAGTAGTTCTGAATTACAGTCTTACAGAAAAGCACAGGGAAAGATTTTCCCTGGACACATTATGTGTTCTCTCATCACTCTCCCAGTCACAAAACAGTTTTACTGAGTTTTTTACCACGCTGTGTCCCCAGTGGATTCAGAATTCTGTTGGAATAGCCTCCTTTGCAGGATTAGGATCGACACCAAACTCCCTTTAGTTGAACATGGCATACTTTTAATAATGACAAATACAACAAACCAACCCATCTACCTATACCCCAAACACCACAGGGAACACGCCACTGACAAGCAGCAAAAATGGAACCCAGCAAAAGGGGAGTTGGCTCGCAAGGAAGGTTAAAATTAACCAGAGTTCTTCACTCTAGACTTGGTGTACAGACAGCAAATCCCTGAGTACACAATCTGTATTCATTGCACTCATCTAAAGGCAGCAATAGCTAAACCAGGATTAAAATCCCCCCCTCTGGAGCCCTCAATACAGCAGGGACAAGGAGCTGTTGGAGTAAGACCCAAAGAGGGCCACAGAGATGTTGCGAGGGCTGGAGCAGCTCTGCTCTGGAACCAGGCTGAGAGAGCTGGGCTGGGGCAGCCTGGAGAAGAGAAGGCTCCTGAAGGGGAGACCTTAGAGCAGCTCCAGTGCCTAAAGGGGCTGCAGGAAACCTGGAGAGGGGCTTGGGACAAGGGCCTGCAGGGACAGGCCAAGGGGAATGGCTTGAACCTGCCAGAGGGGAGACTGCGATGAGCTCTTAGGCAGAAGCTCTTCCCTGTGAGGGTGCTGAGGCGCTGGCACAGGGTGCCCAGAGAAGCTGTGGCTGCCCCATCCCTGGCAGTGTTCAAGGCCAGGTTGAACACAGGGGCTTGGAGCAACCTGCTCAAGTGGAAGGTGGGCTGGAACTGGATGAGCTTTAAGGTCCCTTCCAACACAACCTAATCATAAAACCTTTATACCAGATCAGTTTAGAACATGCTTAACTGTTACAGAAGGCAAGGTCACATATTAGTAGGATTTGTAGAAACCATAGCCTCTTACCTTCTGCTGACATCGGACCATGTCCATGAGCTGCTGAGCACCTGGAGACAACTTAGATCCCATTGACTCCATTATAGTTTGCACTCTGTCTAGATCTATGCTCGAGCCTAGTGAAGGAAAATCAGTTGGTACTTTTGCAGACACCGTTTTCACTTGTACAATTATTTTACTGATGAGTATTCTTTGTTTCTCACCAATGGAGAGCAGCTGGTGCAAGAAGGGAAAGAGATATTTTGGTTAGGAAACAAACAGCTTAATGTTTTCCTTGTGTGTATGGGACAATGCCTTCTTTGAGTCTTTGGAAAAACAACACTAGACTCTTTTCAAGGGAAATCATGCCCATTTCTCCTTTGTGTCAACTCTTTGGTAAAGTCTGAACGGAACAGAGGTGCTTGCAAGAGCAGAGATAAATCAGGCCTTGACCTTCTAAGCATTTAAGATCAGTGGCCATACAAATTTTCATCATCTTAACCACATCAGAGTTAACAGTTTTAATTACAAAGCAACTGTTGATCTGCAGTTTATCTGGTTTATGAAGCTGTCTTCCTCTAAGACTGTATTATCTCTCCCATAAACAGTCTTCATGAGAAAAATGTGATATAAACTGAAAAGAACTCTGCTACTGCAGCACAATACCATTTTAACAGATATTTAAGTGATTTTCTGAAGTGATTAAGTGTAGAAACCCCATAATTTGACTAAGAGTAATGCAATTCAGTCAAGTGATTAAAAAGACAAAAATACAACAGTTCTGTTCAACCCCCTACCTTAATTCTACAGGAAGCTGCAGGGCATTCAAACTTAAGGTACTTTTTGTATAAAGTAACCTCTTCGGTTTCACTAGAAAATAGAATAAAAGAGCTGTGACATCACTTTGATAAACTTTTTTTAGTAGAAATACTCTGTATCAGGAAATATTTAGGTAAGAAACAAGTGACTGGAATGACAGTGATTCTCATGTGGTTTGGAAGTTTTAATGCTCATATGCAGCTTGTATTGAATCTCATTGGATATATATGTAAAAAAGGATTTGGATGTGTATGTACATTATCTGCCAGAGCACATTATTTACACATCTCTGCTGATGTTTTTCTCCTGTTTTTATTTAGCTCATTGAACAGCTGATGTGTCATTGACTTAAAAACAACAGAGAAGCCATTGCTTGAATCCCCCTGGCAAAGCACGGAACAAATTATTGAAGGCAGAAACAAATCCTTTATTTTGTCTTTTATTCCTAAAAGTGTGAGATGACTATGCATCGAAGAGACGAGAGGTCCTTTAGTAAAGACCTGCTAAAAGAGATCTGCTGCAGAGAGAAGCAGATCTGATGTCCGGAAAGATTAAAGGACACAGAAGATACCCCTGTCCTAACCGCTTCTGTCGCCCTACACAACAGCATTTCAGTGTAGCACAACTTACTGCATACAAGAGAATAAAGAGGTGACTGGCATAACTGTACCCTTGTATCTTTATCAGAAGCAACACTTGTGCAAGCCACCGGTGACTGTGAGGTTTAGCAGACAACCGCAGACCCTGCGCCCATTCACCAGTTTTGCACAGAGAGACCAAACTGAGTGGCTGCCGTGGCGCAGGCACCGAGCACCTTACAGATACACACAGACCGGTGCTGTCAGTACGAGAAGGGCCAAACGGTGTCGGGGACCCAGCGCGAACACCCCTTCCCCGACACCCACCGCCTGCGGCCGATGCTTCCCTCGGTGTCCACTCACCCCGAGGGCAGGGCAGCGCCCACGCTTTCGCCTCGGCCGGTGCCGCAGTACTCCTCTCCCACGTACACCTCCATGTTACGGGCCTCGCTCACGATACCGACGGACACGATCTCCCCGGCGCCGGCCGGCCGGCACTCCAGCTGCAGCACGCAGGGCGCCGCGCTCCCGCCGCCCGTCCGCCGCTCCACCACCACGGCCTCGGTGCTGCGGGGGGAAGCGCCACGGCCGCGTTGCCTCTCCAGGCCCGCTCCTGCCCCGCCGCCCGCACTCCCGCCCAGGCCCAGCCCGGCACCCCCTCACGCCGCCCGCCTGACGGGAGCCAGCGCGGCTCCACCGCCCTCACCCGGCCTCGCCGCCGCCCGGGTCCCGCCTCAGGCACAGCGCCCGGGCCAGGCCGTCCGGCGGCGCGCAGAGCCAGGAGCACCCCGCCACCACACAGCACGGCTCCCGGGGCCCGCCGCACGGATCGGCCGCCAGCTCCGCCAGCACAGAGCCGGCCGCCATCGCAGCGCCGCGGAGCAGCCAAGCAACGGCTGAAGCGGAGCCACGACCGTCACAAGAGCCGCCGGGGCGAAAGCGCCTGCGTGCGGCGGCGGGCAGGGCTCGGAGCATGCGCGGTGCGGGCGGTGTCAAGCTGAGTGGCGGGAACTCCTAGGACACGGGGATGCGGTGGGAGTGGGTGTCATGGGGTGAGGGAATGGTTTGTGTTGGAAGGGGCCTTAAAGCTCATCCAGCTCCAACCCCTGCCACAGGCAGGGACCCCTTCCACTGGAGCAGCTTGCTCCAAGCCCCTGTGTCCAACCTGGCCTTGAACACTGCCAGGGATGGGGCAGCCACAGCTTCTCTGGGCACCCTGTGCCAGCGCCTCAGCACCCTCACAGGGAAGAGCTTCTGCCTAAGAGCTCAGCTCAGTCTCCCCTCGGGCAGGTTCAAGCCATTCCCCTTGGCCTGTCCCTACAGGCCCTTGCCCAAAGCCCCTCTCCAGGTTTCCTGTTGCAGTGGTGCCCCTAGTTTGATATGTGAGGACCAGCAGTGGAAATGGTGAGATGTAGCGATCAGGGTTCTCATAGATACTGTCCATCTCCAGCTCCTGCGTTGTTCTTTTAAAGAATGCAGATGCAGGAATTGAGAATTACACAGTTTGTGTAACTCTTGAAACACTTCAGGTGAGAGGAGCAGTGTGCCACACTGACAGAATGGGAGCTCTGTGTATGCTGCTGAGTGGTTTGTGAACACATAACTAAACTGTCTGATACATCACTGAGCCTTTGAAACACAAAAGTGAGGTTTAAAGAAGAAGGCTGTGTATGATGCAGAGGGTTGACCAATGTACAGACTGAAAGGTGACAAGTTCAAGAAGAGGAAGACTCATTTACTTCATCTTGAAGACCCCTACCCACAAGAGGAAGACTCATTTACTTCATCTTGAGACCCCTGCCCATGACCAGAGGGGGCACTGCGCAGGCGCAAAGGACTTTCTAGGTCATTATAATACGAAGGCGGGATAGAATATGAATATGTATAGGCGTATTGTGCAACCTTGTGACTTTAGAGGATAAATGTAGAGGGAAACAACACTGAGACACGCATGACTTTGAGGAATTATCCCCGTGAATCTCAGCGCTGAATAAAAGCATACCTACTTTACGACTTTTAACAGTTGTGGAGTCAATCCGCGCATCATGTAGCCTGTGTGTTTATAGACGAATTCTGAGATGTAAAATGCTGGCAAGGAAGGGTTTGATGTGTGCTAAACCCCTAATACCTTTTAAAGTTCATTGTCTAATAACCAATATTTTCAATATAGAAGAAGTTCAGCTGCCAAGGTATCTGCCATGCCCCTTGTCATTAAGAAATAGGTTATACTGACTTTTCTGTTTGCTCTTTTCACAGAGTGGAACAACAGCCTATTTGCTCCTATTTGGAAAAGATGATCTCCAAAAATATGGATCTGATGGAGAAAAAACTAATGGACTATATTGATCGCCAAATCCAGGCTCTTCAGACACATATAGATAATAAAATGGTTCTCTTAATGGACCTGGTTCAGAACTCGCAGCCAAACAAAATTTCACAAGCACACTATGATTCTAATGGAGAGAGATAGATGTGTGTAGGTAGAGGATTTCAAGAGAAGGACTTTCAGGACAGTTATACCTTACGAAGCTCAGTATTTATGGAGTTAGAACTGTACCGATCTTCAGTGTTGTTGACTTGCATTTTGTTACTGTAATTGTATCCACTGTTGCACACAGTTTTATGAAAGATCTTAAGAATGTGTGTTTTTTCCTAAACATGAGAATTTTGTATGCCCTTTGTGGCTTCTTTATTTAACGAGCATTACTAAAAGCTGTATGAAACACAGAGTTTCCCAGTTTAACAATGGAGAAGTAATTGAAATAAACTGAGTTACAGCTTTTCTTTCTACCCACGTCATCCCTTCTCTGTTCTGTTGTCTTGATGTTTGATGTGTAATATTCAAGCATTAGAACAGGATGTATTTTCTTTGTGCTTTTGGTTTATTTTAGTGGTATTTCTTTTAAAGATCTTTATTAATCCATCCATTAGAGGAAGTACTAGCATTGCCTGACTTGAACTGCTTTTATTCACTGTGTTGGAATGCATTGAGTAAAAGCTGTTGATGGGGAAGCAAGTGTTGGCTTCACAGGCAGCACAGGCACATAGAGTCCAGTATCCTTATCTGGTCTACCTCTTATTTTCATTTCCAGGAAAACCAATGTCTTCTGAAGACTCTCAGATCTTGATGGTGGCAACTCTGAGGAGTAGAGTTCGCAGACAATCCTTGAACAGACATCTCGCAGTTCTCCCTTAGCTTAACTTGTGCCAACAGCAGTTTCATAGTGATTTGAAAAGACAGAGATTTGCTTGTTTGTTCTAAGAAGAAGACTTACCTTCTACTTTACATTCCCTTTATACCTGTTATGGTTTCAGATGCTTTCTAAACACCCTGAAGTAGACACTTATATTCTTCAGCTCAGTGATTCAAGGGAACAATACACAGTTAAGGGGTTTTTTAAATACAAAAAAAGGTTGAGAACTGTTTCCAAGCATCATTCCAGTGCTGTTGATTTATTGATTTTGAGCTGGTTTGGGACTTTGCCCTCTCCCCTCTCCGGGTGACAAATCTGAACACAAGTTGACATGAATCCAACATATCCTGAAGCAGTTGTTAATAGGAGCTCTGGAGTTTTTGGTAGCTGTGTCCTGCTTGGTGTTTGTGGTATTTCAGTATCACCACTACTGCAATGATGATATTTGAAATCAAAACCACCACTGAAAGAGTGTAGAAGCTGTATTGGAGCTTTGGGGATTCTTCAGCATCTGCTTTAGTGAGGGATTCTGTGTAGAGAAAAACATCCCCTCCCTTAACCTGCTGCTCACACTCTGGGGGTGCATCCCAGCACACGGGGAGGTTCTGGTCTCAAGCACACACTGAAGCCGGGTCATGGGGTGCTTCTCCTCACCAAACACCAGCAAGTCCTTCTCCTCAGGGCTTCTCCATCCAGTCTCTGCCCAGCCTATGTTTGTGCTTGTGATTGCCCTGTCCCATGTGCAGGACCTTGCACTTGGCCTTGTTGAACTGCATGAGGTTCACACAGTCCTTAGTCCTTTTTCTATTAAGATAAAGTATTCTTGGAAAGGTGGGAAATCCTTAAAGTCATGTCAGTGCTACGGGACCTCATAAACCAGCAACATCTGGAGCAATAGAATTCTCTCTGAGTTATATGCTAATAGGGCACCAGGTAGGAAACAGACTATAAATAAAAGATTGGATTCATTTAATTTTCAGTAGGATCCCAGCTTCTGGAGTCAGGGAAAGCTGCTGTGCTACAGACATAAACCCAGGGAACGTGGCTATCGAGTTCTAACTCCTTGCACTTGGCTGAGGAGCATCAGTTACAGATGTAAAAATAGGGAGATGAACTTGAGCAGGCTTTGTACAAGCTGATATTACAAACACATCAGCATCTGTTTCTCTTTCACTTAAGCCATTGTTTCATGTGATTTGCTAGCAATGGAAAATATATTTGCTCTGGTTTAATTAACGAATTCATTAAAATTAATTAATGTAAATGTTTTAGCTTGAAAACTGTGCTGCCTCAGTCTCCTTTTTCAGGTTCTAAATGTGCTTGATGCTTCTGGAATGTGTTTCAAATGTATCCAGTTTTAGAAGCATTTGTTCGTTGCTTTTGGTGGCAATGTGGTTGTGTGATGCCTTGGAAGATTATTCTGAACCTAGAAGAGGGATGAGCTGCATCAAGTCACAGACCTTTGGTGAGGAGAATTATTTTTAATATAGAAGGGGTGGGTACAACCCCTGTTTTGGGGGTTCCCATGAGTTTGTGGGGTTTCCATGTGTTCATATACACTGTATTTTAGTTATTTTTAAAGCTGAAAAAAAGGGAAAAGAACATGTTGAAATTTCTAAAAGTAGATTGTTCTATGCTAGTTTTTTTACTGAGCTGACAATCACCATTATAAACAACCTATTTTATCCATTGGTAGCATGTTTCTAATCTCGTATGATCTCATTGGGGTAATAAAGTCCTTTGGAATAAACCAGTTTGATCCTGGCATGGGTTGGTGCTCTTTCTGCAATCAGCATTTAAGCCTGTGCTGCTTTTTATTTGCATTAAGCTGTCTAACCAGTTTGGTTTTTTTTGAAAGCCTGATGGATTAAAGTTTACTTCCCGTTTCCTTAGCAGAGATGAAGCATCCAAGTGCTTTTTCTGCTGTTTACCTTCGGAGCAGACGATTCTTGTTCTTCTAGTTCACCTGCATAGAGCCAGGTACACAGTGTCTGCTGGGTTACTGTAGTAGTTTCTCCAGGAAATGTTAAAGCACAGCTTATTTTTGTTCACTTTTGGACTAACTTTAACTGGAAAACCTTTTGGGATGAAAGGTAAGATTGTTTTCAGTTTTTCTCATGTGTTCAGAAAGTTTCTCCTAGTCTTCTCATATTCCTGACCATAATGTTGCACAGCTTTGAAATCAAGCCCTGGCTCTCCCCAGGCATTCGGCTATTAGCTGACCTGCTAATTGAGAAAATAAAGAAACAGGTGAAGGGAAAAGATTCCAGGTTGGAAGCTTTCTATAGTTGAGCTCTGTGGTTTTTCCTCCAGGATGCAGTAGGTACGTAAATACATCCCCTTCCGCACAGGACGCTGGTTGTGAGAACTGCACTTTACTCTCATCAGTAGTAAAGACTGTAGAAAAAGATTTATTCATCAGCAATGCAAGGGAAATCCCTACAGTTTTGTTTTAGCTCCTCATTAACTCATTGCCATTTATGACTTGGCTGCAGATATGAGATTTAGATGGATTTTGTAATTCAGTAGTAAAATTGCTGCAGATTAAGAACAAAGAAGTAAATGTCCAGAGACAATCATTCGACCGAGACCTGTTTGCCAATAGCAACTTCCACATTTTGGTTGCAGTGGCAGCCTTTAATGTTAAATATATGCTACCTGCACCCAGCTTTTTAAAATCCTGGTGTTATCTAATGGGCAGAGATCACCATTACCCTGATGAATCTTCCTCTCCGCTTTGAATTGGTGATTCTGTGGCTCTTTTGCAATTATAAATTCCTTTCACAGACACGTAGGAGGCTGAGGGTGACTTTGGACTGCCATAAATGAGAAGAAATTTCTTTGTTTCCTTATGCAAGGACAATTTAAGAAGGAGGAAACTACTTCCACTATTAAAACCCATGTTATTACTGTTTAACAGCAATGGGTTTGCCTCTGTTGATCGCACTCAAACCAGACTGATGAGCAGACAGGAAAAGGGAAGATGCATTCAAGTTCACACAATTATAAATAAAGCCACTACAGATTGTTTTTATCTTTATAAACGATTGACCTAAAACCAGATACTCAGCAGACTTCCTACCTGTAGCTTCCCCCATTAGCATGATGTTCTGGAGATAATCCTGATAACAGTGTAAAAGGCTACAAAGCTTTTGCAAGGGTTTGGCTGTGGTTGGAACCAACAAAATGGAGCAATGTCAGGCAGTGGCTGGAGGCAACACTGTGAGCCAGGATTATGCACACAGCAAGTGGCAGAATTACATTCAGAGGACAACTCTGAAGTATTCCTCATTCAGGGGAATAGGGAAAGGAATATAAGTAAAGTGATTTAAAAGGGAGAGGACTGAAGGGAGAGTTTGTTTACTCAAGGACAAAAGGAAGTGGAGACGTGAGCAAGAGGGAGAAGTGAACAAGTGTGGGACATAAGAGTAACTAGGAGGCAATAGCACAGCAAATGGCTCTGTACACAGTAAAAAACATTCCACACTTTATTTAGGAGATGAATATATGCTAGTGGAGATACAGTTTTCTCCAGTTCTCTATAAGTTCTGAAATATCCTGGCAAAGTTGGATCTATCATTCAAAACAATAGTACTATATGTCCATATACAGCCATGCTATGGATTCCCAGATCAGCACAGGCTTCCTGGCACTGACAAAGTGATTTCACAAAGCTTGAAGGAACTTAATTCTATTTGAGATGTTAGCATCCTTTGCACAGGTGATTTTCACTTCAGAAATTACTGTGAGGGGACAGATGGGTGGACAGAGAGGGTACCTGCATGGGTTTCCTGTGGTACATCAAGTTAGAAGTGCAGATCATAGAAGAAGAAAAACTGTTTCAAAAATGAAAGACAAAGTTAATAATCCAGGATATGTGAGAATGAAGAAAGACTGTGTTTAAATCATTCAATAGCTTCTCGTGCTCTCCAGACCTCAGCTCCTTCTTCATCACTATTGAAGTATGCACTGAATACAGGAAGGGATTTTTTATCATTACTCTTTTTTTCTTGTTCTTGAGACTCTCTATTAAGCTCCTATCATATTGGTTGAGGGATTTATGTTTTTTTCAGTCAATAAATAATTTGGTATGATATTGTCTCTATGAAGGAATGAGAAAAAATGGAGCTAATACCCAGTTTATAATGTAAGTAACTAAGACCAAGAGGTAGAGCCAAGATTGCAGCCAGTTTGGGACACCCTGTTTAAGAAAACTTTTGCTTAAATTTGCAGGTTTTAACAATTTACATCAGTTGTGTTTGGAATGCTGCAGTCATTAGCCTTAAATACAGTCAAAACAGTATTTCTATAGGTAATGAGGCCACATACATCTAGTTTCAACACTCAGAAACCAAGAGTAACTTGGCCATGAATGAACACATTGATTTCTGTGACTTTCCCAGCATAATCCAAAAGTTCTTTATTTTCAGGTGTATTTTCTGAACAAACATCCAGACTTTCTACATTAGAAATTATTATTCCTCGTCTGACAGGCAGAGAGAAACATCACCCTTTTTATCATGAGGTTGGTTATTCTTTTTTTTCTTCTGGTGTTGCTGTTTTGCACATTGCTAATATTACACACACAGTGTATGGCATATATAGATTATTTTTGTGAAGGATCGTGCCCCACACTACCTCTTCAGATTTTTTGTGTTTTCAACTAGTTTTGGGTAAATTTGTTCCCACAAGAGTCTGAAATTGCACTTTAAGTTAGTGCCTTTCAAACTTCCAGTGCTTTTAACAGCCTTGTCAGATAAAAGTGAGAAAGAATATGAAGAATATTTCCATTTCCTCCAAGTCTGATTAGATCTTGAACTTGAACTAATGCCCATGCTGTGTGTGTCTTTTTCCTCATTGTATCTGGTCTTTGGATAACCAGAGGATTTCAACCATGTAGCACCTAAAGGGCTGATGCTCGCTTAGTAGAAATGGTGCCACAGAGTTGCACAGATAAATGAGTTAAAAGAGAATGATCTGAGCCTTTCTTCTTCAGTTCTGAAGTCATTTACCTTTGTGCTAGATATCGAGTTCAATTACTGTAGTAACTGGTAATGAAATAGCATTAGTCATCTTCGTGCAAAGCTATTAGGGAAGGAAGAATCTGTGAGTCATTTACATAAGGCGTCAGGAAACACAATGTGGTAGTTGGGTAAAGGGTGCATTCATGCCCTTCTGTCTTCTCAAGGAAAATGTGTAGATTAATAGAATTTAAACTCTCCATAGGGAAAAATATACAGTGTGCTGCTGAGACTGACATATAGAAGGCACAAGGGTTAGGAACCTGTGTTTTGGTAGATACTTCAAACTTATATAGTAGTTGGATGGCTCTTCTCAAAGCTTGGATGGAACGACCAAGTAGAAACTCTCCTAATCAAGTGATATCTTTTGTTCTGTTTTCAGGAGCATTCTGATGACAAGCTTTCTTACTCAGTTAAAACCAGAAATGGAACATATCTCCTAAAACTGAAGAGAAACAAGTATGCAATAGAGGGTTCTAAGGAATCACACCATCTTGGAAGTTAGCTGCATATAGACAAGTATTTTTATACTGAAAAAATCCAGAAGAAACCATTTAAATGGGAGGTTATGCTAATTACAATGTGACTGTTAAATAGTGTCTCTGTTACGATCCTAGCTTGCAAATGCAAGGGAATAATATTTTTTCTGTCTGTGAAGAAATGTACTTTGATTAATTATTTATTAGCAGCACAAGGTAGTACAATTCAGAAAATCCTTATGGAACATTAGAACTCATCTCAATATTAGCTTCTTACTAGTGAAGGGAGGGTTGTTAGCCTGTTGTATGTAAGAAGTGTGTCTGTTACTGTTGTTCCTCATTCCTGAGCTTGTAGTAGCCCAGGCCCTGATGCAGTGTAGTCTGCTCAGAGACTTTTCTATGGATACTTTAGTTAAAGGATTTTAAAATAACTTATTTTCCAAGTAATTCAGCTTATTTTCAGGTATTTTGTTTCACATCCATGGGTTTTAATACCCATTAGCATGAGTGTGCTGCTGTGTATTTCTGACTAGGATTCTTGATTTACTTCTTGCTTTCTAGACTGTTAAAAGAGCAGTAGTTTATTTTTGTTTCCAGAAAGCTTGTTAGTGAAGACTTCATGCTCTACACATATGGGGAAAATGGGAAACTGGAGGCCACACAATCAAAAAATGAGGTATGCAATAAAATTCCCCTTTTGTGTTAGTTTCTTCAAAATGGGGAAGCCAAGCTTTATGAATTGAAGGAAATATTAACAGTTTAATAGAACTGAGGGCAACAAGGATGTGTATGCATCTAAATGTATTGGCAAAGCAAAAGCGAATGCACAATAATTCTGAGTGCCTTTGTATCTTTATAATAGGACAGTGAAAATAGGTTTTATCAATGGAAGGGAAATACAAGTAATGCACATAAAGCATCTACAGAAGGAAAATACATTTGTCTGGAAAGAGGTTTTTGTGAGTCTTCACATTTGTAGCATTTCTGTTTAACGGTCACCACTGATACAAAACATGAGGTTTGGTGTTTTATGAGGGAGTGGGCTGTTTATGGTGATACACATCACTGTTTTCCAAGGTGTGAAAGGAGATGCCAGGAGATTATGCCAAGACTGAATTTGAGCTGCCTGATAAGGTCGCCTTTGCATAAGTATGCAATTAAAGATACAACAGCAGCATCAAAGCTTTGTAGGTTTTTGGTGCCAAACAAGCCTTATAAATACTTTTGCATTTCATTTCAACTTTAAACTGTATGTGAACTCAGCAGGACTTCATGAGGTGCTTTGTGGATGGGAGATCTCATATCAGCCTTTGAGAAGAGTCTGTTTAAGAACAGGGTGAGCAATGTAGGTGAAAAGATTCTGTTAAAAGATGGTGATGGTTAAACTAAAAAGCTGGTTGTTTGTGAGAAGCAAGGGACCTGTTGCAGGTACTCATGTCAAGTCATATTTTATTCCGAGAAGGCTGGGATTACTCCTAGAACAATGAACTCTGTAAATCTGTAACAGCCAGATTTAATGTCATGCAAATACAAAGGTTAGTTAGAAAATGACTTTGCATGTGAACGCAACAACTTTATTTTGTCATTAATCACGTGGTTTTGTTGCATTTCAGACACACTGTTATTATCATGGCACTGTTGAAGGAATTGCTGACTCGGTGCTTGCTCTTAGCACATGTGATGGCCTTAGGTATTAACTTTTGCTTGTTACTTCAGGGCAATCCATTGTGCAGTACCAATGTAAAAGAGTAAAATTCACCATACAGCTGAAAAACACCATTCTATCTTGCAGATCTTTTAAAATACTTTCAATATTTCACCTTTTGATGAAGCTGAAACTCTTTACAGGTTTTATAGTTTCCCTCAGCTACCCCTGTTTTCCCTTTTCCCAAAATTCCTTCACAGAGAAAGGATAACGTGAGAGAGCATAATCTAAATATAAGCAAAACACAGGCATGAGCTGAGGCCTCTATTACTTGATGCAAAGGTCTTGACCAGAGACACCTTTGTAGAAGAAAAACAATCTGATGGAGCTTTCACTGAACTTAAAACACTCAATCATAGAACCACAGAATCCCAGGAATCATCTGGTCCAACCTTCCTTGGCATGAGCATGACCTAGACTAGATGTCCCAGCACCCTGTCCAGCTGAATCTTAAGTGTCCAATGTTGGCGAATCCACCACTTCCCTGGGGAGATTATTCCAATGGCTGGTTGTTCCCATGGTGAAGAATTTTGCTGTCTTGTCCAGTCAGAATCTCCCCAGGAGTAACTTGTGCCCATCACCTCTTGTCTTTTCCATGTGACTCCTTGTAACAGGGGAGTCTCCATCTTTTTTGTAGCCACCCTTTACATACTGGAACATGGTATCCCCTGAGACCTCTTTTCTGGAGGCTGAACAAACCCAGCTCTCTCAGCCTTTCCTCAATTTCGTTGTGTTTCAAAAGCAATAAAATTACATTTATTGGAGAATCATACAGGGACCAGATTAGTGCATAAAGGGCAGTTGTTTCTCCCTGCAGAATCAGTCCATGAGTTGATAAAATGAAATGGCACACACACCACATGGTGCAGATATTCAGAACATGCTTAGAGTGTGTCCATGCTCCCCGGTGTTCACTGAGCTGGACTTTGGATATATCTGTTGCATGTAGTAGCCTTGTTCATTTTGATGTCTTTTTGACAAGGAGAAAGAGTAAAATGGGATAAAGATCACCCACATATCTTTAATTGATAATATCACAGTGAGGTGCCACTCAGAACAAATGACACTTCTGGCATTCATTTAGCTGAAGAATAAAATGGTCAACATACTGGTGTTTCAGGTAATGCTGGATCTCAGTAAGCAGAACAGATACTTCATTTTAACTGTTCTGCAAAACTTAATCAGACTCAAATCCTTTGGCTACTTTGTACTCACATTTTTGAGGATCTTCTTTCACAAGATATTAACTAGAGAATTCTTGTTCTAAATATAGTTTGAGATTGTGGAAAGCAAGATAATAGGCTCTAAAAGAACAGCAAATGGGCACGGACCAGCTGTTTGAGCCATGAACAAATGCACTCAGCAGTGCAATACTGCTGTTGCCCTCACAAACACCCTGGTGATTGCTTTTAGCCTCTCTCTGTCTCTTAGAAAATATCTTTTTCTGAAATACTAGGCTACTTTAGCTGCATGGGGCTAGGAGTGAGACTAGAAATAAGGACTAAAAGAGACCCTTTCAGTCATTTGAACTTACACCCTATATTAAGATAATGTAAGATAATAATTCATTTCAACCAAGTGGTATGAACAGTTCTAGTTTCCAAGTATCCAGCTGTCATTCAATCATCTAGTCATAATCACGAGGGAAAACCTGTGGAATAATTATTCATTCTTTTACCATTATTAGAGGAATTCTCTACATTGGTGGCAAATGGTATGGAATGGAGCCACTCAACACATCCAGCACGTTTGAACATGTGTTTTACCAGTCACAAGATATGCAGGATATCCCCTTCCAGTGCGGTGTGCTGAACAGCAGCCTTCATCATGAGGAGATGTTTGTGAAGCAGGCTGTGAAATACACCTTTGTTTCAAACAGTACCTCTAGCAGGGAGAAGCTTTTGAGGGTAAATACATTTCTGTTTCTCTCTTGAGAGCTGGAGTCCAAGCCACCTCCTCAGTCTGTTCCAGCAGCCAAGGGTCTCCAGAGCTCTTGCTTGTGTGTGGTGTCACTGCGGGTAGGTTGTGCCTTCATGTTCATGGCCCTCAAACTGGTGGGAGTATCGCTAAGGACATCCTGAAACAGAACAGCACAATTTAACACAGCTTGAAGCAATCCTTTAGCAGAAGAGCAGGGGTCTGCCCAAGGCAGTCATGGGTATGACATGAAAGGCATGAAGCTGCCACCCAGCTCATGCATCCCAGTGTCTGACCAGATGTGAATTACTGATATACAGGTATTAGTGTGAAAAAACAGAGCAAATTGACCTTTGAGACCATATTAAAAAATGTGTCATTGCTTTATAAGCACCTGAAAAGAAAAACATGAGAAAGATAAATAAGAAAACCTCTAACTTGTTAATTCTAATATTAACTTCCTGTGCTTTCTAACTTGCAGATGAAGCGAGCTGTCCTGCCACAGAAAAGCTATGTGGAATTATTTGTGGTTGTGGATAACAACAGGGTAATTATATCATCCAATGCTAAATACATTTTAATATTTCATTGATTTCTTTCTCTGACATTCTTACATGGTATTTTACAGTTTTTGATGAAGAAATCTGATCCTGCTGCGGTGCAAAAGGAAACAGTTGAGCTGATTAATTATGTTGATGGGGTAGGTCAGACACATTGACTAGATTGAGTAGTTTCTGCTACTGATCTGTTCCCAGTTTCTCCTTAAGACGTCTAAGAAAATGAATGAACATCATCTTTCCAACTTCTCCAACTGAGAGATACGTTTAGGTACCTTCATGAAGTAGACTGACTTCAGTCATGTTAGTTTTATATTATAAACACATATATTTAGTTTATATTTCATATATATATTTTATAGAATCATAGAATAGTTAGGGTTGGAAAGGACTTTAAGACCATCCAGTTCCAACTCCCCTGCCATGGGCAGGGACACCTCACACTAAACCATGGCACCCAAGGCTCTGTCCAACCTGGCCTTGAACACTGCCAGGGATGGAGCATTCACAGCCTTCCTGGGCAACCCATTCCAGTGCCTCACCACCCTCACAGTAAAGAACTTCTTCCTCAGATCCAATCTAAACTTCCCCTGTGTAAGTTTTAAACCCTTACCCCTTGTCCTATCACTACAGTTCCTAATGAAGAGTCCCTCCCCAGCATCCCTATAGGCCCTCTTCAGATACTGGAAGGCTGCTAAGAGGTCTCCACGCAGCCTTCTCCAGGCTGAACAGCCCCAACTTTCTCAGCCTGTCTTCATACGGGAGGTGCTTCATCCTCGTGGCCCTCCTCTGGGCTTTTTCCAACAGTTCCATGTCCTTTTTATGTTGAGGACACCAGAACTGCACACAATACTCCAGGTGAGGTCTCATGAGAGCAGAGTAGAGGGGCAGGATCACCTCCTTCGACCTGCTGGTCACGCTCCTTTTGATGCAGCCCAGGATACGGTTGCTTTCTGGGCTGTGAGCGCACACTGAAGCCGGCTCATGTTCATTTTCTCATCAACCAGCACCCCCAAGTCCTTCTCCGCAGGGCTGCTCTGAATCTCTTCTCTGCCCAACCTGTAGCTGTTTTAATTTATAAATACTAATATTTTATTTTTAATTTCAAATAAAGTTATGTCTCAGTCACTATGTTGAACTTACTGTTTACTCAGTAGCAGTGATGTAATCTGTCATAATTTATTTGAAACAGACTGATGGATAGCAATTATCATTATGTTTTTTCCAGATGTATGCAGCATTAAACATCCAGATTGTCCTGGTTGGATTAGAGATCTGGACAGACACAAACCACATATCTGTGATGGAAGGGTCAGCTGGAGATGTGCTCAGCAGATTTGTCTCTTGGAGACAGAAAGATCTTCTTAAGCGATCAAGAAATGATGTTGGCCATCTCATCATGTAAGTTTTCACACAGTGGAAGAACTACCCACACTGCCAGTGTTGCTGATGTGTATGGTTTAGGGGTTGTGTATGAATGAAAATACAACTGGAGTAAAATTCATTCAACTTCCAACCTAGCAACCTTTATAGACAAGAAACTATAATGAATTATTTATATATAATCAACTCGAGGTGGCTCTACTTAAGCAGGGGGAGAGTGGGACCAAATGACCTCCAGAGGCCCCTTCCAACCTCAACCGTTCTGTGGTTCTGTGACCTCAGACACACTGTCACAGCAGACTTGGGTGACTTATCATTGTTTTCAAGCTAATTTAGTCAGGTATTCATTATTAATTATAGTGAAACCCTGATATGGTGATATATTTCTTCTTGACTTCAAGACCAAAATTTGCCTTGCAATTTTTGTTTCAAACTCATCACTGTCTTTTAGTAGAACTTTTAAACATTCAGCCTCTCTTTCAACACCACCTTTAAACTGCTTTTGTTGCAGAGGGAGAAGCTCCTACAGTGGATCCATTGGAATGGCTTTTGTGGGTACCGTCTGCTCACAAGTCCAGGGAGGGTCAATCAGCACTGTAAGTACACAATGTTGTGGTTAATGGAACAAACTAGCACTGGAGCTGCTAAACTATCACAGATATCCCGCTAGCGGGACACCTGAAGGCTTTCCCCTGTGCATTTACAATACACATAGTTGTAGGTACTGCTATTGGCAGACACTGTCTCCATAGAAGTACAGCCTAATAAGTAACATGCCCTTTGCCGACCTATTTGGTCAAGTCAAGTCACCCCAGTCTCAGAGATGAGGCTTGGAGGTGTACAGTCCCTTTCATGGGGATTCTTATATAAAGACTAGTGCATATTTAAACTTTTTGAGTATTTCCCAATTTCTCTCATCTCCTTTCATCACATTCCAGTCCATTTGGCTGATTTAGTCCTGAAATAGCTTTTCGATCACCTTTTGTCATTCATCTAACTCAAGGTTGCGTAAGAAAAACCCATCCTTATACCATTGAAGTTCATAACCACAGTGTTCTGGGGATGCAACTACAAAACAGTGTCTATTTTTCTACTCTTTACATGGATAGAAAGTGAACATAACACACTATATTCTCAAGTGTCAGGATTTCCCCACAGTAAGGCTGTAAATAGGCAAAAATTTTAAAGATGGCAAAATTAGTAAGGAAGTATTTTTTCCTCCTTCACCCTTGGGGCAGAATTGTATCTCCAGAGGTCCCTGTCCTTACAGTATGAACACCACAATGCCATGGACAATCTCAGAAGCAGATTCTGGTTTTTAACAGAACATGAAACAGAACAGCTGTTTTTTAACAGTACATTTGTCATTGAAGACTCCATTGAAATCAGTGTCATGAGTGATTAACTGTGTTAGAATGGAATAGAATAGAATTATTTCAGTTGGAAACAACTTACAATGATTGTAGAATCACAGAATCCCAGACTGGTTTGTGCTGGATGGGACCTTAAAGCTTACCCATTTCCAACCCTGCCACAGGCAGGGACACCTTCCACTAGAGCAGCTTGCTCCAAGCCCTGTCCAAGCTGGCCTTAAACACTGCCACAGACAGGGCTTGATCCTCTGGTTCAGCTGCCAACTGTTAATATTCAGGACACGATCCTAATGGAAGGAATAAAAAGAGAGGCAGAATTTGGCCCTACCTGGAAATAAAGTGGTAAATTGTCTGTTCTTGATGCTACTGCTTTGCAAAACAATTCCATATTCTGTCTTCACAGCCTCTGAGAGTTTCGGGGCTTGAATAAATCAATAGTAACAACAGTATTTTCTTTAGTTTCACAATTTTTTTAACACTGATTCTCTCTATTAGTTGAATCATGACAATGTGTTGCGTCATGCTACAGTAGTTGCTCATGAATTGGGCCATAATCTTGGAATGAAACATGATGACACAAGGTGTCCTGCATCCTATATTATGCACAGCACAGATAAGTAAGATTTCCAGTTGTTTTATTTAACTAATTGTTATTTATCTGCAGTGACTATGCCTTAGAAGCTGTGAATCTCCCATGGATCTTGAAGAACTTTTGTGAATGGGGAGTTCTTTGAAAGGTTTAATCACAGAGGTGAATTCACTGAGTTAGGACTTAACCATTTTAACTTATTTGAAACTTAGTATTTTTTTTCCAATCCAGTAATTTTTTATTTGTAGCATTCCTAAAAACTGGATTTTCTTTATTATTTATTTTAATGATAGTGTGTTGCTGGGTTTTTTACCCTGCTGAGAACTGAGAATCCTTTACGTATATTCACTGGGTTCACGCAAATGTGCATCCTTCACACACATTCTTAACAGTTCATTTAAACCAAACCTCTCAGCTGATGATTCTTTCAGTTCACCTCTTCTTTGGCTTCCCCTTATGAGAAAAAGATCGTATTATTTCACCTATTTTAATTTGTATTAATAAATCAGGGTAATTGAACACTGGACAAAACTACTATAATAAGATGTATTCATGAGTTCTTAGGGACTCAAAGTAAGGTGGATGCCTTTCTGGAAAGTATTTTTGAAACAAGCACATTCAGACTCATTACACAAAAGGGATTTCTAAGGCCTGTTTTATACAGGATGCCAGAATGGATAACCTGATGGTCTCTGACTTCTGAAAGTACTTCGTTTATGTTACAAATATTATTTTAAACTTCTAGTACTATACTCTATTGCAAAATAGTCAAAATGAAATATCTCGTGCTCTCCCAGCATTATAAAACATGCTATTTATTATAGATGAACAATATTTTAAGGGCTTGAGTTGTATTATTCCCTGTAAGCAAAATACTTATAATAAAAAAGTAATATTATGCTTTCCAGTGGATCCAGGAATTTCAGCACCTGCAGTGCTGATGATTTTGAGAACCTTATTCTCAGTGGAGGAGGAAACTGCCTTAGAAATCCTCCCAAAACAAGTAATGTTTACAAGGAACCTGTCTGTGGCAATAATGTGGTCGATAGTAATGAAGAATGCGACTGTGGCAAGCCAGAGGTAATGGATTAAATTCAATTGGATACTTGCTGTATATTGTGTTATTATATTTGTTGCTATATTATTGTATAAGGCTGGCCTTTCAGTATACCTGATTTTCATTAATATCTGAGTTTTCCTTGTAATTTTACATCTTGGCAAGCAATATGAAGATAAATGTTAGTAAAAGCCTAAAATCACTGCTAGTGTAGTGGAAAAATAAGATAGGAGAAGGAATGATAAGGAGTAAACCCCCATGTATTCTGCTTCTTTTAGCGTGCATTTAAAGTGTAAACATATCCTATACCCCTGTGCCACAACACATCAAAACACAGATGTTTTTCTGATGACTTGTAGTAAGAAAATACAGCCAAACTGTGTGCTGGTTCCTGTTAGAGCAGAAAGCTGTCAAGCTCAGAACACACACAAGAGACAGTGTGCTTAAAGTCTGGTTTGCCCATGCACTTGGTTTAATCATCTAGTTTCCTAGCTGTAGAGCAATGTGAAAACGTTGTGTCCCCTTGTCCATGGCTGTTCTTCAGGAATGTACTAACCCTTGCTGTGATGCTGCAACCTGCAAACTCACGCCTGGATCGCAATGTGCTCAAGGACTGTGCTGCAAGAACTGCAAGGTAGACTGTTGTATTAAGCTATATTAATACTATTTAATAGTATTTTTTAATGTTTGAAAAGAGCTATCATAGCACTCAATATACTTTCTCATTATCAAACTATATTCACCAGTAGAAAGCATGTAAGCAGTGACTTTGTGTCCAACAACTCTCAGGCAGTAGCTTAGAAATGGAATATCATCTCTGTGTCATCCCTTGTAGGAGGCACCTCGTAGGAGGTGACTCAGCAGTAGTGATCTCCATTATGCAACACCAAGGTTCTCCCAAATCTGTGACAGCTGGCTGCTTTTAAATTGATACTTGTGTATACATTTGTATGATCTACCCAAGTCCTGTGTAGGCTCAGCTCATAAACCACAGCTACACCATATGAAACTGAGGGAAGTTTTGGATATTCGTTAGATAACTGATCCCAAAACTGCTTGGTCTTCCTTAAAATCCCCAAAGGCTCCCAGTTGTCATTGTTTCATGTTAGCACTTCTGCTGTTGCAAAATACAAGTAGGGTGGCATTACTCTCTGGTTCCAGTTTAAAGTGGCAGGAACAGAGTGCAGACCAAAAATGGACTTCTGTGACCTACCTGAGTACTGCAATGGAAGCGATGCCTACTGCCCAGAGGATGTTTATATCATGAATGGTTACCCATGCAGCAACATGAAGGCTTATTGCTACTATGGAGTATGCCAGAGTTTTGATTCACAATGTGAATCTATATATGGAAAAGGTATGTTGATAATTTAATGTGAAAAGACTTGTAGTCTCCTAATAGATATTCCTAATATTTCTTTCTCTTTCTCCTACTTTTAAGGCTGTAGTAGCTTACTCAGATTCATTGCTTTTTGTACAGGGGCAAGAAAAGCACCTGATGCATGCTTTGAAAGAGCAAATATTAAAGGAGACAGGTTTGGAAACTGTGGAATGAAAGGTGGAGTGTACAAGAAATGTCCTGTTCAGTAAGTCACCAGCAAATAAAAGCTAACTCTAAGATCTACAATGGAAAAAATATATATTCTGTTACAAACTCCTAAAGCATAAGCTTTAAAAGAGGATTTCCTTGAAATGCAAGCTAAAAGGTTTGACTGGATAGTGTATTTGCACTGAAACTGTGAGGTTTTTTCCCTGTTCACCTTGTTTCTGAGTGTCTTTCATTCAATACAGGCATAGTCTGTGTGGCAAGCTCCAGTGCACATCTGTTAGTCTTCAAAACCTTCCTGCCTGGAGCGTTGTCAATAACGCATCTGGGGTTTTATGCTGGTCTTCTGACTTTGACTTAGGATCAGATGTCCCTGATCCTGCTCAAGTTCATGATGGAACAGCCTGTGGAGAAAAGAAGGTAGGATGGATCACAGCAGCATTAAGGAATGTATTTCACCAACTGGGAAGTTCAGAACTTTCAAAATCATTACACAGCTCTCTTATTTGTATGCCATAAGGAAAAAATCTGCTTTTTGAGCTACACACAATTAGCTCGTCAAAAACTGGGATGCTACAAACCAATGAGCTACATTATCAGTTATCCAAATTACTCATCAAAATGCATCCACAGACTTCTCTGCAACAAATCCAACTATAAAATTGGGAAGTACTGAATGTTCTACCAGCCCTCTTCTGGACATCTAAGTAAAAGCTGTAGAATTCTAAGCACATACATTTACCTATTTATAAAAGGATGGGATTTTTTGAAGTTTGGAGTTTGAAAGACACCAATTACTTTTTCCAGGCCTGTTTGGATTTTCAATGTGTTGATGCAAGTAATCTGGGCTATAGCTGCGATGTAAAGCAGAAGTGTAATGACAATGGGGTGAGTAGATGGTGTCTTCATGCCCTGTTTCTAGAAGACAAAGAGAGGTGCAAAATCCCTGTATAAAAGCAATAACCAGACAGATGGCTTTGGGGTTTTCTCATGTGTATTAAAAGTTAAGTCCACCTTTTTATCTGTAATTCATGTGTCAGTACACTGTAAACTGCTTAGCACTGACATTGAAAGGCATTTCTTCTGAATATCCCTAGGGAATTTTCTATTATTAGTGAGCTGTGGAATTATAAAAGGAAAATATTCCTTTGACAAGGACAAGTGATTCCTCACTTATAAATGTCTCCATGAAAGATTAAAATGGAGTACAAAGGTTTTAAATCTGAGTTCTCTGGACTACCATCTATTGCAGGCACATAAAACCCCAAAGTTTAATGTCTATAGAGAATTAACTTGCGGTATCGGTATCACTCAGTGTTTGGGGATGGAGGGGGAGAGCTTATTCCCAGTTATTACTTTGTGTATTTCTATACAATATTATGCAGTATTTCTTGTTTCCACATGCAGTCTTCCATGTGGAACTCCAAATATACACGGGAGGTTGAAAGCAGCCACTTCCAAAAGGCATTTGCTTGACTAATCCCTACTGTATCGACCGCAGGTGTGTAACAACAATGGGAACTGCCACTGCAACTCTGGATGGGCACCTCCATTCTGTAACCGGTCAGGCTATGGGGGCAGCATTGACAGTGGTCCAGCTCACATAGGTAAGACTGTGAAACTGGCCTTCATTCTGCTCCCCACGGCAGATGATCTGCTAATAACAGGGGGCTTCAGTCACTTTTCAACTGTTTTCTTCTACTACATGGAACACTTAATCATGGACTAAGTTGAAGAGCAGATTTTATTATCAGAGCTGTATGTCTGAACTGTTTTGTCTGATCTAAAAAGCAATACATTAGTTGCTCAGGATTACTGTTACATTGTTGTTAAATATTTAGATATTTACTTAGGTATTTAAAACAGAGTTCTGAAACAATGGATTTGATAGAGGAAGACTATAGCTTGAGCAATAGAAGTGGTAAATGCTCCCCCCCAGCAGTGTTCCAAGGCCACATCGGACGCAGCCCTGGGTGACATGGTCTGGTGCGAGGCATCCTTACCCATTGCAGGGAGCTGGATCTAGATGATCTTAAGGTCCTTTCCAACCCAAACCAGCCTATGATTTATGAAAACAGCAGCCTTTATATGTGGAAAGTGTCTCACAGAAATGAGAGGGGTTAAGGAGGTACATGCAGCCAACAGCAGTTGTAAGCAGCTTGTGTAAAAGCCTTTACACTGAGACCACATAAAATGTTTGCCCTCTCTCTGTTTACAAGCCAAGTTCATCATCATCTGTAGCTTTGTGAGGCAAAGAACAATTTATATTTTATCAAGCTTTACTAAATTCATTATTTTGGGACAGGGAAAAAATGTTTTCTATTTATTAAAGGCTTGCCTTTCTATTATTAAAGGAAGGCCAAGAAGAGGTGCAGATCAGTTGTGGGTAAGGAAACACAAAATGAGTTTGGTTGCTTTAGAAATCCTGACAAAATATGTGGAAAATGTTTGCGTATCAAACAACATGGGGTGGGTAAGGCAGAAAGAGCTTGTAATAACATAATGCCAAATCCTACTTTTCTAACCATAGAATCTACACATTTCAGTGAAGTTACTAGTTTTTATCTATTATAATTTGAAGATTGTAGTTTTTACAACAGAAAGGTGTTTTTTAACAGAAAAAATGCTTTAGTATGAGGTTAAATAAGATGACTACCTTACATTATTCCAATTCTTTTCCTCTAGATACATCACTTCGGGATGGTCTGCTCATTTTTTTCCTCCTTGTGTTGCCACTTGTAATTGTTGCTGTAGTAGTAGTCATTAAGCGTGACGCAATAAGGAGGAAGTTTTGCAGGAAAAGCAGAAGACAACACAGGTATCTCACTTACTACAAATGCCTATTTCAACACTTGGGAGCATGCTCCAGATTTATTTAGCAAGCTGGGTAGATGCTTTATCTATACAAAGAATTCCGGCCCACCAAAAAGAAATCACCCCAGCTAATAGTAGGTTGCATAGTAGCCAGTCCTCTACTACTAGGTAGTTTAATCCAGATACTCCAGTTGTCAGTTCCCAAGCATTTTTCCCCCAAATACAGAGCACTTTCCTAGTTGTTATTGATAATTGTATTATATGGACAGAGGGGCACACACATGGAAGTCAGCTGTCAAGGCTGGAAAGGGCTGGAGTCGGACATGGAATCCTGATTTCACCACTCCAGCCTCAACCCTGAAGGTGGTTAAACCACATGGGGATTTTCCTGATGACGTGGTTTTTATTCCAGGGATAACAATGTGGAACAACCAAAGCAAAATAACACACCAAGTCATAACACAAGAAGTAACCAGGTAAGATAGATGCATGCTTGCATTATTTCATGTTGAGTAATCCAAATTATACCATGCCTGTTCTCTAATATAGTTACTGGTGACTTTATGTCCTTCTGATACACTGAAACCAAGTATTTAAAATCACTTATAAATCATTAGATAAGATTTCAGCTTGGGTAAGCATAAGCTTTATTGTCTGCCCTGTCAATACAGGCTGTGAGTAGTATGGGATGGAACAGGTTGCTACTTAGCAGAGCAACCAAAGATTGAACTTCGAATTCTGCAGCCAAATACCAGAGAAGCTCCTCAGCCAGGCTGTGGATCCAATGCTGATAAAGCAAAATAAAAAGTATCAAACCAAAATGTTGCAAGAGAATATGAAGAAAGTTACAGAAAATGAAAAACAGTTCTAAAATACTGTTAGCTTAATACTGAATATTAGCTACAGTTCAAAATCTGTGTTTTCTATTAACCTCATTTTCTGCAATATCTTTTCCAGCCTGCCATATCAACTCCTGATTTCTTTACTGTACCACATTTTCCTGGTCCAAGGTTTGTAGTGTTTAAAATCAAGCAAGTAGGGATAGTATAAGGGGTAAACTGGCAGAGGGGAGATTTAGATTAGATTTTAGAATGGAATTCTGATGGCTGCCCCATACCTGCAGTGTTCAAAGCCAGGTTGGACACAGGGGCTTGGAGCAAGCTGCTCTAGTGGAAGGTGTCCCTGCCCATGGCAGGGGGTTGGAACTGGATGAGTGTTAAGGTCCCTTCCAACACAAACCAGTCTGGGGTACTTAACTTCATGTTTGCTGTGTTTGCATTGCTGTATCCTTGTGAAGTTCCTAATGTCCCATATCCTGTTTAGGAGGATTTTCCATGCAGCCTCGTATCAGATATAGTAGATTAAATGCTTGTATGGAAAATAGCATAATGGCAACGTAAATGCTACTAGGGAGAGGGGCGGGCAGAGAGATATAGATATCTCTAAATCCTAGCAACTGTTTAAAGATGCTAAAGAAGCAGTTGTCTCAAGTCACGAACTACTTCACAAAATGTGTTTGACACTTCAGGCAGCCAGTGCAAACCCAGTTTCCAGCAGCTCCTTCAGGACCTCAGCAACCTGCAGTCCCACCTAGACCAGCTGCCTGAAAAGCTCCTTGGGAAACCTCATCCAGTTCTCACAAGGAATTACAGACTGCTGTCCTCCAGTCCTCTTCTTGAGCAGCCAAAATGCTCCCTGAAAGCACGTATCTCTGGAAAAGACTTGATGCCACCAGGCACTGAACACAGATTTTGTCACATCCAATATTCTCCTAGTTGCTGCTGGCTGCATTTGTACCTCTTCTACCTCACTTCCTATTTTTGTTTTAAATCAGAAGTCTGAAGTTCAGCTCCTGTCAGATGAAATCTGGAAGAGCATCACAGAACAGGACTCTTCTAAGCGCAGCCTTACTTGCCGGGCAAACAGGAGTGAATTCAGTTATTTAGGCATCATTTACGCACCTCTAGTCATACACTGCTGTGAAAATTAGAACACAGATGGACCCCGTGGGAAGTCTGCAGCCTGTCTACCTCCTGGATCATCCTCTTGGCTCTACACTGCCAGGGATGCAGCCATTTCCTGTTCCCCACAGGCCAATCTTTTCCTGTGTCTTGCTCCAAGCCTCAGCTTCCATGCAGCACTATCGGAGCTGGGATCTGGATACCACCTCTCACTACCTGCCACCTGCAGTACCTTCCACTTCAGTTAGCTGAGCAAACTGCTCTAGTGGAAGGTGTCCCTGCCCGTGGCAGGGGGTTGGAACTGGATGAGCTTTAAGATCCCTTCCAACCCAACTATAATAGTAACATCACATCAGCCCCCAGCAATGGAAAAAACCTCTGTAGATAATGGATCTGAGTCTTGAAGGAATGAGCCATCCCTGTTGTAACAGAAAAGGTGGTGTACCAAGGATAACATTATACACTCAATAGTGGTTTAATGTCTGCTGGTTATCACGGTATGAGATTTGTGCTAGGATCTGACTCCACTATAGAAGCAACAGGTAACTTTCATCACTCTAAATGGGACAATTGGGAAGTGGTACTGATTCAATATGAACATACACAGGTTGTCAAAATGACAGCTCATGGAAAAACAGCTGCTCCAAGGAGAAAAAGCCACTGGCCAGGAGGAAGATGTGGATACCGGCCAGTGTGTACATCAGAGAGCAAACCACACTCTGACTGCGCTCACATGTGAGCCCTGGAAATAGGAACCAGCAAAAAGAGTGAATAAATTCCAGGATCGCCTCACCAAGATGGTATTTCCAGGTTCCTCAATGGCCATTTCACTGAAAAACTGAATGGAACAACCCAAAATATGCTGCAGGCACCAACAGCACTGGCAAAGAGGGTCTTCCGAAGAAGCGTCCCCATGTCCTTAGCATCTACAATTATTATTAAACATTATTATCATTTATACCTTCTAACAAGCGTATTACGTTATTATACCTTAAATCATCACGCTCGAAACACCCAATAGTATCTTATGATAACAAAAGCCACCGCTGGGTACAGCCGGGACCGCTCATTATCCTCACGCCTCCGGGGTCACTAAAACGCATTATTCAGTTTATTATCAAATTAAAGGTGACTAACACCGGCTCTTTCCGCACGGGCCCACGCCAACCCCTTCGCCTCGCCCGCCCCGCGCATGCGCGCAGCAGGCCCGGGCAGCGGGACCGGCGGCTGTGGCGGAGCTGGAGGCGGCAGCGGAGGATGACGATGAGCGGGGCGGAGGCGGCCGCGGCCGGGTGGGGCTGTGCGTGCTCTGCGGGCTGCCGGCGGCCGGCAAATCCACCCTGGCCCGCGGCCTGCGCCGCCTCCTGCCGCAGCGCCAGGGCTGGGCCTGCGCCCTCCTCACCTACGACGAGCTCATCCCACCGGAGGCCTTCCGCCCCCGGGAGCCGGGAACGGAACCGAACCCATCGGTCAGTGCGGCGCACTGCTCTCATTGGCCAGCCGGGGCCAGCGTGGCACGGCCATTGGCCAGCTCGAGAGCGTCACTGGCCGCGCGGCGGCCGTTGCCAGGCAACGCGGCGCTTCCTTCATGGCGGGCGGGAGCTCGGTGGTGGTGGTGGTGGGGGGAATGGCGACGGTGTGGGGCCGGGGCGAGCTTTCACCCCTGTGCTGCTCCCTCCACAGCTGCCCGACTGGAAGCAAAGCCGGCGGGAGCTGCTGCAGTGCTTGGAGCGCCTCCTGCAGGCGCTGCTCACCGGGGACCCGCTGGCAGCCCCCGGCCCCTCCAGCCAGCCTGCCTGGGAGCGCTTCATGGCCTGCTGCCACCGGCAAGGGCTGCTCCGCTCAATGGAGAGCGGAGATGGCCGTTACTGCGCGCACACAGCCGGGTCCGGGCCGCTCTACATCATCCTGGATGACAACTTCTATTACCAGAGCATGAGATACGAGGTGTTCCAGCTGGCTCGCAAATGTAACTGCTGTTTGTGCCTATGCGTGAGAACGTGTTGCGTAGGAAAATCGGTGCGCTTTAAGTGCTCTAGCAGAACATGATTTATTCTTTATTGCTAGATTCCTGCAGTATAGCAAGCAACAGCTATATTACTGCGTTGTTAGGAATTACTGCGTCACTTAAAGCCTTTCTTATGTTGATCTCCAGATGAGCAGCCTTGAAGATAAAATTGTTTTATATCAAGCCTCCCAGTACCTAAAGGGGCCAGCAAGAAAGCCGGGGGAGGACTTTGGACAAGGGCCTGTAGGGCCAGGCCAAGGGGAATGGCTTTAACCTGCCAGAGGGGAGACTGAGCTGAGCTCTTAGGCAGAAGCTCTTCCCTGTGAGGGTGCTGAGGCGCTGGCACAGGGTGCCCAGAGAAGCTGTGGCTGCCCCATCCCTGGCAGTGTTCAAGGCCAGGTTGGACACAGGGGCTTGGAGCAAGCTGCTCCAGTGGAAGGGGTCCCTGCCTGTGGTAGGGGTTGGAGCTGGATGAGCTTTAAGGCCCCTTCCAACACAAACCACTCTAGGATTCTGTGATTCTGTTATTTTCAGGCTCAGAACTAGTTGTAGAAGTTCCTCATTCATGTAAAGCCTTTCCTGTGCATGTTGCTTTCAGAAATCTTTACTTGAACAGTTTAAAGGTGAAATCATCTGTTGATGTTCTTTTAGATTCCTTGAGCTACTGCCAGATATTTTTAGAGGCTCCACTTGAATGCTGCTTGCAGAGAAATCAGCTGAGGAGTCATCCCTTACCTGACCAGACAATACATTTAATGGCAAGCAAAATAGAAACGCCAGATCTGAAGAAAAATGCTTGGGAACAGAACAGCCTCATCCTGCAAAGTTCTGACTGCACTTCAGAGAAGTATGCTCAGTGCGGCGGTACTGCTTTCATAGATGGGTGGGCAGAAGCTTTCTACCGTATCTAAATGGTTTTATGGTGTTTTTTGGAAGCCTCCAAAACAAACCACAGTTCTAAACTGTTGTTAAAAATATATGTAAATTGTCTGAAACATTAACCCTGGAAATAACTGGCTGTAGGTTTAATTATAATTGGTTTTCATCTAACTTCCCATGTAAAGATAACTTCATTGATTGCCTCAGACATTTAAACTGAAAACTTGGGGTTTTCTTCTTGTGCTGAGGTGTCATTACAAAATGAAAGCAGACTCTCCAGTGAAACTGTTTGTTTAACGTGGTTCATCCTTGTTTTCTCAGTGAGCAGATCATCGCTTTGCTGGCTGCTGCCTTGGAAAATCCAGTGAAGCAAAATGAGGAAAACACTGAGCAAAAGGTAGCGCTGCTTGGCTCCGGTCATGGCTCTGCCAGGTGGTGGGGAATGAGTGAGTTATACCTGACCTGTATTCACAATAGAAGCTAAGAAATAGCTCTTTGACAGGCTGAGAGAGCTGGGCTGGTTCAGCGTGGAGAAGAGAAGGCTCCTGAAGGGGAGACCTTAGAGCAGCTCCAGTGCCTAAAAGGGCTACAGGAAACCTGGAGAGGGGCCTTGGACAAGGGCCTATAGGGACAGGACAAGGGGACAGCTTTAACCTGCCAGAGGGGAGACTGAGATGAGCTCTTAGGAAGATGTTCTAGCAGGGGGTTGGAACTGGATGAGCTTTATTGTCCCTTCCAACCCAAACCAGTCTAGGATTCTATTTCTTAAGTACAAAAGCATGCAAAGTTACTCCCATTTGAAGTGGGTACAACTGTCACCCTTACTAAGCTAAACCATTGAAATACCTTCAAGGATACTGTTAAGTGTTCTGTAGTAGCAAAAGGACTTTGGAGCTGTCACACCCTGACAAAAATAATTTTCACTTCTTACCATCACACGTACCCATCTGTGCCAGTCACCCTGATACACACACCTGCCCCCAGCTCACAGGAGTAGCCTGCACTGCAGGAGTCACTGCTAATGTGTTATATGTTTTCCAAGAGAGCTTTAAAAGCTTATGAGTCTAAACCCAACATCATGTGTCTGCACGTGTCCCTCCTTCCTGTGTCACCCCGGCAGGAAGCCGATCGGGCCATCTGTGCAGCCAGTGCTGTCCATCAGGCTGACCAGACCTGCAGACGACTCATCTCTCAGGCAATGAAGGAGGCCAGAGGTAAGTGCAGTCTGTTCTGGGGGTTAGCTCATGAGGTGGGACTCAGCCGGTGACATTCCCTTGGGATAGACTTAAGAAATCCCAGCCCTGCAGGGGTGATGGAAGCAATCGCATTCAGTTGGCTGGGCAGAGTTACTGAAAGTCTGTAAACCTTCTCTTAAAGCATGAAGCTAAAAGTTTGGCTTTAATTTTCTTTCAGATAAAAACATCCTGCCAAGTGAGCTGAAGAGCCTGGCAGAAGAACTCAACAAACTCAAAGTAGGGTTTCTGGAAGATGTGAGGCAAGGAAATCATTTGAAAAGCCAACTTTCTGTACAAAATCAATGTTCTGACCCTGATACATCTGTAATTTCTTTGTTCCAACTGGAGGCAGCCAGTATAGTTAATAAATATATTTTAAAATAAGGACATTAGGAATAGTGGCATATTTTAAGGGCCCAAAGTGTTTAAAATGCAGTACTGCTTCAGCATTGCAGCTGAAAACATCTGACACAGCTTCCTTCTCTAGAGGCTTGTGCCATCTCTTTAACTCATCTGCCTGTTGGGAGAGCAACATAGCTGTTGTGACCCAAAAGGAGTCATTCAGGACCTCCCTCCCTTTGGGACCTACGATCAAGTTCATGATACCCTTGCACTGAATTAAGGTGAAATGACACCACCCAACCAGTTTCATTTCTTAATACAAACTACAAGGCATGTGGTTAGATGTAACTCAACAATGATGACTTTAACTGAATCAGCAAGTCGCATGCCATGTGTTTTTGCTTAGATCTAGTCAATATTAAATGAAAAAGCAGAGGAGAAGTATACAGCAACATCTTGGTCCTCTTCACTGGGGGTATCCCACCCTCTGACCTCAGCCCTGCATTTTTGTGTTCACACTGAACATTTTGAGACCCCCACTTGGAGCACTGTGTGCAATTCTGGTGTGCTCTACATAAGAAGGCCACGAACCAGAGGAGGCCATGGAGATGCTGCAAGGGCTGGAGCAGCTCTGCTCTGGAGCCAGGCTGGTTCAGCATGGAGAAGAGAAGGCTCCTGAAGGGGAGACCTTAGAGCAGCTCCAGTGCCTAAAGGGGCTGCAGGAAACCTGGAGAGGAGCTTTGGACAAGAGCCTGTAGGGACAGGCCAAGGGGAATGGCTTGAACCTGCCAGAGGGGAGACTGAGATGAGCTCTTAGGCAGAAGCTCTTCCCTGTGAGGGTGCTGAAGCGCTGGCACAGGGTGCCCAGAGAAATGTTAAATGCTCCATCCCTGGCAGTGTTCAAGGCCAGGCTAGAGACTTGGGTGATGTATTTAGTGTGGGGTATCCCTGCCCATGGCAGGGGGTTGGAACTGGATGAGCTTTAAGCTCCTTTCCAACCCAAACCATTCTGTGATTCCATGGGCATAATTAAGTGAGCTCATGAACAGTTACGAAGTTGAGGTTCCTCAAGGGTCCCTCTGTTGTCCTTATTGTGGTGTCTGCTTTGTGACTGCACCTAAGAGTCAGCTCATC